TGTGCTTTTTTTTTTTTTTTTTTTTTTTTGTAGAGGTTTTTGCTATAGGGTGCGTGCGCTCTTGCCAGCCAGACAGAGAGAGATAGACAGAAAGTGGGAAATCACCCCCCAGGAAGGGATGGCCATGCTGCAATACCTTCTCCTCATTCTCCTCTTGGGATTTTGGGCACGCACGCACATGCGCCCAGTATGCATTGTAGGCCACCAGGTCCAGGACTCGAACTATGGTTGGCCACATGGGAATATCCAGCGCCTTAACCACCATGCTGCCTGCTGGTCCCCCCTGCAGTTATTTTATCTGTGCACTTTTTTAAAAAAATTGCCACAGGGCATGTGTGCTTGTTGGAGAGAGAGAGAGAGAAAGGGAGGCAGTGGGGGGGGGAGAGAAAGCACCCCTAATGGGACATGGTCACATCACAATCCCTTCTCCATTTCTCCTTTCAGGATTTTTGGTGTGTTTTTCCAGCTGCCAGGTCCAGGACTTGAACCATGGGGTTGGCTATGTAGCATTCTAGCTGCTTTAACCACCATGCCATTGGCTGGCTCTTACGTATATGCTAACATGTACTATTACTATAATGTCTGTTACACACATTACTGCACATCGTTTTCCAGTTACCCTTATTATCTGCATGTTCTGTTGGAACATGAGTATTTTACTTTTACCAAAATGGGACCATAGAGCATATTTGGTCTACCAAGTGCTTTGTTTTTTTTTAACTTAATAATAATGTGGGTCCAGTAGGTGCATGGTAGTTAAGGCACTGGACTCCCAAATGGTAGACTGTGGTTCGAGTCTCAGACCTGCCAGTTGAAAACCATGCTGGGCACATATGTGTGCATGCTCAGAATCCCAAGGAGAATGGAGGAGAAGGGATTGCAGTGTGGCCAAACCCGGAGGGTGATTTCTCACTTTCCCTCTCACTGTCTCTTTCTTTCTTTATCCAGTGAGTGTGTGTACCCTATGGCAAAAAAAAAAAAAAAAAAAAAGAAAAAAGAATATTATAACATTTTCCACATCCCAACATAATAATCTGCTTTTCCTTTATTTTTCACTTAGCTGTCTTTAATTACACATGGAATATATGACTACGTCCTTTGATAAACATTTTCAACAATGTAAAATGTAAATGTTTCAAAATAAATACGCCCTTTCACTCTGCTCCTCTGCCCACCCAGTCTCTCCCCTCCCTGGGGTGGGGAAGAACCAGCAGGTCGACTGTGGTGTGTGCATCCTTCAAGTTTTTCTCTACACAAGTGTGTAGAGATTAGATTGAGTCACATGAAAGTCAGAGATGGTACAGGGCCCAGCCGCGATGGTGCACGGATAGTACCCTGCTTGGGAGGGAGGAGAGAAGCACATGGAAGGCCTGATTCGGTTCTCAGCCAACTTGAACACGCCAAGTAGGTGGCCTGGTGGTTAAGGCTGGGCAGGGTGGTGACACGGTGAAGCCCTGCAGAAATAGCCATCTCTTTCTTTCTTTTTTTTTTAAAAGAATTATTTAATTTTATTTATTTTAATTTGACCAGAGAGAGACAGAGACAGAGAGGAGGAAAGTGAGAAAGCAAGTCACCAGGTCCAGGACTCGAACCATGGTCAGCCATGTGGGAGTGTCCAGCACCTTAACCACCATGCCACCTGCTGGTCCCCAACCATCTCTTTCTTTTACTCCTCCCTAGCCCTATCTCTAATAAAAGGGTAAAAATGGTCAAGAAACAGTTATTTCATATAGTTCAACTGATCTATAATCAGACTTTTTTTTTAAGATTTGATTACTTGTATCTGCATTTGATAATATATGAAGATATGCATATTTTTAAAGAATTATTTTATTTAATTTTATCTGTTTATTCATTTATTTTTAATTTGACCAGAGAGAGAGAAAGAGAGAGAAAGTGAGAAAGCAAGCCACCAGATCTCAGACTTGAACTATGGTCAGCCATGTGGGAGTGTCCAGCGCCTTAACCACCCCGCCACCTACTGGTTCCCAATATGCATATGTATTAAATGCAGTTGCTGGAGACAGAGAAAGTGAGAAAGCATCCCCCAAGGGGGAAGGCCACACCGCAACCCTTTTCCTTCATTTTCCTCTCTGGATTTTGAGCACACATGCACGTGTGCCCAGCATGAGTTTAAGTCACTGGGTCCAGGACTCAAACTGCAGTCAACTACCTGGGAGTCCAATGACATAACCATTACACCATCTGCTGGTCCTCTTGACTGGATTATTTCTGAGCCTCAATTAATTTTATTAGAATTCACATTACATATAGAGCTTTTGTCTGTTACACTTATTTCTCCATATTAGTACTGAGTATTTTCTAAATCTCCATGCCATCTGCTGTGGTGTTTTTGGGGTGTACACAGAGAGATGGAACTGGGGGGGGGGTCCTAGGCATTACTTATCTCAGTAGGAATTACCTAACTGCTCTCTGGAGAAGCTTTGTCAGTTGACCTTGGGCTCTTTTATGAAAGGAGTAACTGAACTTTCAGATTTGGTGCTCTCAGGGGGTACAAAGGCAGTATGGGGCGGGTATGAGGATTCCCAGGCTGGAGAAGGAGTCCCCACTTGTGGGGTGGCAGCTGGGAGCCAGAGCCCTGATGACCTTGAGCCCAGTTTCTGCCTTTGTCAAACGGGGATGTGACCAGCCACACCCACATTGGGTTGTTGAAAGGCTGGAGTGAGCCCAGAGGGTGGTTTCCAGAGTTGGTGATGACGTTCCTTCCTCTCTCTCTCTCCCCCTGCAGCTGTGCAGACCTGGATGAGAAGGGCTGCCCTGCCGAACAGAGAGCCAGGTTGGCCTGATCCTGGGATTTGTCCCCTCACTCCCCGGGAGGTCACTGCTATGAGGGGTGGCGGGTCTGTTGACATGACACATGTCCCTCCCCAGCCCACACTATTAGTCCCCGTCAGTCGGCTTCAACAAGAGGACATGCTTGGGATGGGGGGGAGGGGAGGCAGAGGAAGATGGCTGAGACGCCTAGGAACCTCCCCACCCTCGAGGAGCTTGAAGTCTCCTGAGGAACAGGCAAGTTCAGCTCCCGGGAGTAGAGGCAGATTGGGCAGAGCACAGCTGCCGCCCCGAGGGACAGCCAGTTTCTAACTGGGGATGGTGGGAAGCTGTGAGGACCAACTGGCGTTTGAGCCAGACCTTGAAAGAGGGGCAGGTACTTCACTTGTGTTCTGGCGGAAAGCAGAGCGGGGCAAGGTGGCACTAAGAGGAGGTGTCAGGGAACTCAGGGGTGTGTTCAAAGGTTCTGCTGCGGTGGGTTTTTGAGGAAAGCGTGAAGAGAGTGAGGGGAGAAGTAGGGGTCAGGCTAGAGCCCTGTGTGGAGGACATAGGTCTTGAGCACCAGGCCACGGGGTTGTACTTGTCTGAGCCACGGGGAGCTTTGGGGAGGGCTTCTGGGAGAAAACAGACTACAGCAGGTCCAAGGCGACCGCTGGTCCATGAAACAACATTCATCAGAGCTTTGCCATGTGCCAGGCCCTTTGGTAAATAAGGGGGCTCAGAGGAAAGGATGGCAAGGGCCAGAGTCTTGAAAGGTGGCCCGGTGGAGAATGGTGGTCCGGGCAGAAGGAACAGCACGGGCAAAGGCTGGGGGCTGTATGAAATGGGGACGCTGAGGTGAGGGATTTAGCTACAGCCAGACTCCTGGAGTGCACATCCCTGGCCCGTCCCCGCGCAGCAGGCAGGACCTCTGGCCGTGGGGCTCCAGAGCTGTGCACACTTGTGAGCTCCGGTGGTCACGCCGGAGCTGAGGCCAGGGCAAGGGCGTAGAGGACGTGCAGATGCGGAGAGGCTGTGGACGTCTGGGAAGGTATTTGGATTTTATTCCAGAGGCAACAGGGAGCCAGGCAGGTTTTTAGAGTAGGAAAAGGGTGACAGTCCGGGGGATGTTTCACTCCAACTTCGCTTACGGAATGTCAGGGACCTTCATGTCCCTCTATGGGGCCCCTTCCTCCCTCCAGCCCCCAGATTGGTCCCCAAGCCCTGACCCTGGCTCCTGCCCCTAGCCCCGTGACGTCCATCATCGCTGCGGTGGTGGGCATTCTGCTGGTCTTACTCGTGGGGCTGGTCTTGGGGATTCTAATCAAGCGGAGGCGACAGAAGATCCGAAAGTACACGATGCGGAGGCTGCTACAGGAAACCGAGGTGAGACTGGCTGAGAGCCTGACCTAGCTGACCCCAGGGCGGTGGCTGCCCTTGGTACTGATCCACCTCCCCCTCGCCCCAGCTGGTGGAGCCGCTGACACCAAGCGGAGCAATGCCCAACCAGGCTCAGATGCGGATCCTGAAAGAGACTGAGCTAAGGAAGGTGAAGGTGCTTGGATCTGGAGCTTTTGGCACAGTCTACAAGGTCAGCTTCCTGCACAAGGGTTGGGGCCAGCCAGGAGTTCCAGTCGGCTGGGGGTGGTTGCACCCCAAGGCAGGGAGGTGCTCTCGGACCACGTGCAGGGGGGCCTGCCGTGCCAGGAACCTGTCCCAGGAACCTGCCTGCTGGAGCTCCCAGGTGGCTGGTTGGAAGCCCTGCCCCACCAGACTCAGGGTGTCTCAGGCGCAGCAGTGGCAATACAAGAGCTGGGGCAGCCTGTGTGGGAGAGGGCAGTGGCAGGGGTGTGAGTAAGGGAAGGGGGCCATCATGGCTGAGAGGGGGAAGCATATTTGGAACGGGAGTGATGCCTTCTGGGGGAAGGCTAGATCTGTACTCCTCTCCCTCATGTCCTCTTTCCCCTCAGGGCATCTGGATCCCCGATGGGGAGAACGTGAAAATCCCAGTGGCCATCAAAGTGTTGAGGGAAAACACATCGCCCAAAGCCAACAAGGAAATCTTGGATGTAAGCCCCTCTACCCTCTGGTGGGGCGTATCGCAGGGATACCCCTGGTTGCAGGTCTGGGCTCTGGTCCCTTCTCACTGGGATGTGGGGGAGATGTGGTCCCCAAACCTTGGCTCTTTATCCCAACCCCACTCCCCCAGTCTGTGGGCCATGGCTGTGGCTTACAATGGATAGAGTCAGATGGGGTGAGGTCCCCAGTCATGCTGTCAGCCCTCAGGCTGTGTGATGGTCTCAGTGTACCCTCGCCCCCCAGGAAGCATACGTGATGGCTGGCGTGGGCTCCCCATATGTGTCCCGCCTCCTGGGCATCTGCCTGACCTCCACGGTGCAGTTGGTGACGCAGCTGATGCCCTATGGCTGCCTGTTGGACCATGTCCGCGAGCACCGCGGCCGCCTGGGCTCCCAGGACCTGCTCAACTGGTGTGTGCAGATCGCCAAGGTGTGCATGTAGGGCCAAGCCCCGTCCCCACGCAGGGCCAGGAAGGGGGCACTTCCGGGAGCGTGGTTGGGATGAGTCCCCAGGAAGTCCTCAACCTGGCTGGTTTCAGGGGATGAACTACCTGGAGGAAGTGCGGCTGGTGCACAGGGACTTGGCGGCCCGCAATGTGCTGGTCAAGAGTCCTAACCACGTCAAGATCACAGACTTCGGGCTGGCCCGGCTGCTGGACATCGACGAGACAGAATACCACGCCGACGGGGGCAAGGTTAGCGGAGACAGCACAGTGATGCCGGGTGGAGTAGGGTCTGGCCCTTGGCAGGGAGGACTCGAGAATGGCCACCCCTACCACACCAGCTGGAGGACTCCCACCTCTGCTCTCCCAGGTGCCCATCAAGTGGATGGCGTTAGAATCCATTCTCCGCCGAAGGTTCACCCACCAGAGTGATGTGTGGAGCTATGGTGCGTAGTGGGGCAGGGGGGGGTGGTGTGAGATGTGGCCCTGGGACAGGCTGACCAAAGGGTGAGAGTGGAGGTGGAGAGAATACATGGGGACACCTTAGCACGTGGGGGGAAGGGGACTGGTGCCCACTCTGCAGGGTCTGTGTACTTTCCAGGGGTCAGGGGAGGACAGGGCAGATCCTCTCCCTTGATCACATCTCTCCCCATCATGGGGCCAGGTTCCTGTGCAGCCTCAGAGGTCCCCCCACCTAATCCCCGTCTCTGCCTTAGGTGTGACGGTGTGGGAGCTGATGACTTTTGGGGCCAAGCCCTACGATGGGATCCCAGCCCGAGAGATCCCAGACTTGCTGGAGAAGGGGGAGCGGCTGCCCCAGCCCCCGATCTGCACCATTGATGTCTACATGATCATGGTCAAATGTGCGTGGAGAAGGGGTGGGAGGCCCTGGTAGGGGGGCCCACAGGGGGCAGGGGAGGAGGCCAAGAACAGGATGTGTGTGGATCCAGGGATGCGGGTATATTTGGAGGAGCTCCAAAGCATCTGTATTGCTTTTACATGTGAAACTGCCAGGGGAACCTGGTAGGAGGTTCTGGCTCAGACCCCAGGTCTAGCATGCTCTCCAGCACCCGAGGGCTTCGGGCTGCCGCTGAGGTTATCTCGACCAGACTGAAGCAGGAACTGGCGGGGAAGGGGCAGCGAGCACCCGGGCTGGACCCAAGGCAAGGGTGCTGAGCTCCCTCCTGCTCCAGGTTGGATGATTGACTCAGAATGTCGGCCGAGATTCCGGGAGTTGGTGTCCGAATTCTCCCGCATGGCCAGGGACCCCCAGCGCTTTGTGGTCATCCAGGTACTGGGCCTTTCCGCCCCATCCCTGCCTATGACGAAGAGCACCCTCCCGCACAGGGTGGGAGAGGGGGCTGCCGGGTGCCAGGCTCCCCACCCAGCCCCACCGCCCCTCTGGGAGCTTCCTGTGGGGAAGGCTGCAGTGTTTCTGTCCTCCCTAGAATGAGGACTTGGGCCCAGCCAACCCCCTGGACAGCACCTTCTACCGCTCACTGCTGGAGGACGACGACATGGGGGACCTGGTGGATGCTGAGGAGTACCTGGTTCCCCAGCAGGGCTTCTTCTGCCCAGACCCTGCCCCCGGTGCTGGGAATACAGCCCACCGCAGGCACCGCAGCTCATCCACCAGGGTCAGTGCCTGCGGTCACATGTGGCAGCCGG